AATCAAATGAGCCACCAGGCACCCCTTTATTTTACTCTCTAAAAAAACAGGTGTTGGGGCACTGGGGTGGCTCAGTTGTTTAAGCACCGACTTTGGCTCAGGTCATGATCTCATGGTTTCGTGAGTTTGAGCCCCACATCGGGCCCTGTGCTGCTAAGGATTCTCTCTCTCTCTCTCTCTCTCTTTCTCCCCCTCCCCCCCCCCCACTCACACTGTCTCTGTCTCTCTCAAAATAAATTAAAAAAATTTTTTAAACTAGGTGTTTTTGTTTGGAGGAAAGGAGACAAAACGCAAAACACATTCTTCAGGTGGCTTCATTTTTAAGTGGGTTACTTGAGAGCCTTCTTTGGCTTAGAAGTTCAAGACCTCGGGCTCCCACGTGCTTCGGGTGCACCTCATGAAGAGCCGGGAAGTAAATGACCACGGCCACGACCTCAAGCTCACATCAGTGGCCCACACCAGCCGGGCTCCTTCCTCAGGGCTCTCTCGACAGTCACTTTGGTGAATTGTCACGTCTGCGTCTCACCGGCTTTCCAGATGTGAACCATCAGCGGAAACTCCTGAAATGCCTTCCTTGGCCATTTCCTCAAGTTCCCACCCACTATTTTCCCGGTTTAAATGCAGTGGGGTTTGGAGATATCGCTGTGCGTGTGTGTGTGTGTGCGTGTGTGTGCTTGTGAGACAGGGGTTGGGGGAGGTTTCTGATGGGACATCCATAAACTAAGTCTCCAGAATTGAATGCGTCCGAGGTTAGCTGCCCTAGTGGAGCACACAGGAATGGAGACTTGGGAGGGAGGAAGGGGGTCGGGGGTGAAGCTCCTGGAGATATGGAAGCGCAGTCCCAGCCCCTCTGTGTCCTCTTTCAGGCGGCCCCGGCTTACCGCAAACTCGAGGTGGACAGGCTTGTCTTCAGGGAAGGGCAGGATTCCTTCGGACAAGGACAAGGATTCCTTCGGACAAGGATTCGGTCCTCGTTTCAGAGCCTGGGACTTCGTGCTGGAAGTGCTTCAGGCTGCAAAACAGACACGTTCTACTCTAAATGCACACGTCTTTCCAGCAACGTGATGGGGGAATTCGGTAGTACGTAGTGAGGCTCGGATGGCCCTGAGCCGAACCCAGCGACAGGGACCTGTCATAAAAGCAAGGTGACCAGCCCATCCATGCACAGCGTCGGGCTGAGGAGGGAACAGTGATTCCGAGCCCATGAGGTGAGACAGCCTTCCCTCCCGGAAGCAGGCTTACTCCCTGGACGAGGGCTGAGGGAACGTGACTGCGTTGGTGACACCACAGGCGGGGCCGCACCTGCTGAGGGGCAGAGGGGAGCAGGAGACAGGTCCCCAACCCCAGGGACCACGGCGGCTGTGAAGGGTCTGTGCCAGCGGCCGTGGGAAGAGCCGGAGTGGTACCCGAAGCCCCGGTCACATTACCTGGGACACCAATGAGGCGGTGCTCACACAGGCATATGGCGGTCATCCTTGGGCCTCGAGGTGGGGGTTCTGACTCCGGTTCCCCTCACAAACCCAGGGGTGGGAACTTGGTACCTACCCCAGGCACTCTGACTAAAGGTGGGCCAGCAGATGAGTCTCCAGAAAAAACCTCCAGAAAAAATTGCTTTGCTCTCGCCCTGTACTGAGTAACCCAAACTCAATGCACGTGAAGCCCTGTGTACGCGTTTAGTCAACGAACACTTAAGGTGCTGAACACCCGTCACACAGGACCTGTGCCGTGTACCGGAGGTGCTGCGATAAAGAACGCACAGTCCCCCAGGCAGCTAGTGGAGGGCCGGGGGCGCCATAGGTTAACAAGGTCATCAGTGGGAAGAATATCAGGTCAGAGGACAGAAGGGCAAGGACAAATGAAGGTCACCTTCTGCACCTTCTGCCACCCATCCAACCACGACGATCTTCAGAGAGCACCGGCCACCGCTTCCCTTTTGCATTCCACGTCTGGTGCCATTGCCCTTTCGACCAACTCCAGCTCGAGAGCACACCGGGAAGGGGGCTCTGGGAAACGTACGCCCCGCTTAGCCACCACAGGCCTCAACAGAATCTCTCCGTCAGCCCCAGTCACACAGGCTGATGTTCTGGGGGGAAATGAGGCTTCTCAACCCAGCATCTGACAAACACCTACGTTAGCGTTCCATACGAACTCGCGACACGGTTTGGGGGGTCACTTCACCCTAAATACCGTGATTGAGCTTAGACAGCCACAAAACATTTGCTGTCACTCACATCCACCTGTAAGTTAGAACCTATAGACATAAAAAGCGAGGAAAACAGTTAGAGGCGCCTGGGTGGCTCAGTGGGTTAAGCATCTGCCTTTGGCTCAGCTCATGATCTCACGGTTTGTGGGTTCGAGCCCCGCGTCGGGCTTTGCGCTGACAGCTCAGAGCCTGGATCCTGCTTCAGATTCTGTGTCTCCCTCTCTCTCTGCCCCTCCCCTGCTCGCACTGTCTCTCTCTCTCTCTCTCTCTGAAAAATAAATAAACGTTAAAAAAAAAATTAAAGTCTTCCCCAAAAGGGCCTCACTGACCCAGGAGTCAGCTTCCTGAATTTGAATCTCAGCTCCCACATTTACCTATCAGTAGTAAAAACAAAACAAAACGAAACAAAATACTGAAGCTACTTAATCTTTCCGAGATTCGGTGTCCTCAAAAATGCAATGTAAAATGATAACAGTACCCACTCAGGGAACTTTCGGCAAGATTTGTATAACGTGATTAGAACAATTCCTGGCATATCGAAGGCCCCCGCCATGTTGGTGGCAGGAGGCCTCAGACATCAGTGCCTCTACACCCAAGACTACAGGTGCAGAAGCACAGCCATGAAGCCGGCATGCCTCTCCAGAGAGCGGTGTGGTGAGGGACGCTAGTGACTAATCACTTGGTTACAACATGAAAATGCCAGCAATGGGGGGAGATGGTCGGCAGAGAGTGCTTAGGAGTACAGAGCAAAGGTCCTTGTGGGGGGCGCTCATGGCTCCCCTCAAGAGGCATCCTCAGTTGAGACCTGAAGGGCTAAGAGTGGGCCAGTTAAACGGGTGTTGTGGTGCAGGTGGGACAAGGGGATGATGAGACGGTCATTGGAGATCAAGGGAGGGTTTTTTTTAATTGGGGGGTGGGCACCTGGGTGGCTCAGTCGGTTAAGTGTCTGACTTCGGCTCAGGTCACGATCTCACGGTCTGGGCGTTGGAGCCCCGCGTCGGGCTCTGTGCTGACAGCTCAGAGCCCGGAGCTGCTTCGGATTCTGTGCCTCCCTCTCTCTCTGACCCTCCCCCGCTCACGCTCTGTCTCTCTCTGTCTCAAAAATAAATAAACGTTAAAAAAATTTTCAAAAAGACTGAGATCTTGCCCTTTGCAACGATATGGATGAAGTGAGAGAATATAAGAAGTGAAATAAGTCAGTCAAAGACAAAGGCATTTGTGGAATTTAAGGAACAAAACAAAGGAGCAAAGGCAAACAAAAGAGAGAAAGAGAGAGACAGAGAGGCAAACCAAGAAACAGAGCCTTAACTATAGAGAACAAACTGGTGGTTACCAGAAGGGAGGGCGTGGGATGGGGGAAACGGGTGATGGGGCAAAAGAGGGCACTTACTGTGATGAGCACTGAGTAACGTACAGAGGTGTTGAGTCACTATGTTGTGCACCTGCAACTAACATGACACGGTACGCCAACCACACGGGAACTAAAATTTAAGAACTTATACAAAACAAAGCAAAATGTGAGTAAAACGTCTGGCTGGACAAGTGCTGCTGAGGAAGAAGTGGGGTCCTCATGCGCTGCTAGTGGGAATGTGAGACGCAGCCACTTTGGAAAACAGTTAAACATACGGGGCGCCCGGGTGTTCAGTCGATTAAGCGTCCAACTCTTGATTTTTGCTCAGGGGGTGATCTTGTGGCTGTGAGGTCGAGCCCCACGTGAGGACAGTGCAAAGCCTGCTTGGGATTCTCTCTCTCTCTCTCTCTCTCTCTCTCAAAATAAATAAATAAATATTTTTTAAAAGGTTAAACATATACGTACCCTATCACCTAGCCACTCCACTCTTAGGTATCTATCCAAGAGAAAAGAAAGCTCAAGTCCTGCAAAGACTGAACCACGAATGTGCACAGCAGCTTTATTTGTAAGAGCCCCAAACTGGAAACAACAACATAAACGTCCATCTACAGACGAATAGACAAACTGTGGCATAGCCATACAATGGAACAAACACGTAACAATGTGAGTGAATCTCAAAATAGTCATGCAGAGCTAAGAAGACAGGCAAAAAGAAGAATATACATTGTGTGATTCCATTTATAGAAAACTCTAGAGAATGCAGCTAATCTATAGTGATGGAAAGAAGATAAGCAGTTGTCTGAGATTAAGGGTGGGAGGGACTGGAGGAAGGAATTACAAAGGAGCATAAGGAAACTTTTGAGAGTAACGGATGTGTTCATTATCTTGATTGTGGTGATGATTTCACAGGTTACACACATGTCAAAACATATCAGGTTGTGTGGTTTAGATATGTATAATTTATTATATGGCAATTATGCCTCAATTAGACTGTTACTATATAAATATACATATTATACATATATAGCGTATATACATATATGTATAATCTGTCTCTCTCTATATATGTATGTATATGTATATGTAAAATATATCATCCCTCCCTCGTGTTGCCAGCCCCCTAGGATTCTGTCCTGGATCTCTGTCTAATCTCTCTCTCTCTATCTCACTGATATATATATATATATATATATATATATATATATATACATACACATATAGGGGAGATGGTATATACATATGTCAGTGTTTTTCAAATTGATTTGACTACGATCCTTTTTCTCTGCTCACCTGTTACCCTAGTTTGCAGGCAAATGGCATATGCAGAGACAGACCTAGGACCGATCCTGGCTTCACTCTCTTGTTGGCTGTATGCCTTTCGGTAAGTGAAGCCTCAGTTTCCTTGTCTGTAAAATGGAGCTGTGGTCCGGATTTAAGTAGTGAATTTCAAATGCCTGCCACATCGTAGGTTCTTAAAACCACCCCAGAAATCAAGCCCGCCATATTTACAGGTTTCCCCAGTTGCATTAGCTTTATTTCCAACTAAAGAAACCAGCATGCAGTCATCTTGAGTCCAAAAGTCCAAGGGGAAAGATGTTGAGATGCTTAGCATTTGCGGGCCCATCTGCTCTGCATTAACTGGTCTTCCTCTGTTTATTATTCCTGGTGTTAAGTCTCCTCCAATTCTTGTGTGAAAAGTTCGGACACACAATAACCTCTTTATCACATTTGCAAAATCTGGGCTTGTTCTGGAAAGCTTGCACCTTTTTCTTGTTGCCATTGTTTTCATGGGGATTCAGATTTCCGAAAGAGACATTTGGAGCACCCGCCTGGGAGCATTTATGTGTAAGCTGGATACAGACAAATATCATCAAAGAACAAAAATGGGATGTCGGAGGAATCAGAGCCGCCCTACGTGGGCTCTGTGCTGTTCGTTGAGGCTCAGGCTGGCGGTCGGGATCCAGGGCTGCTTAGCCCCTCCCTCGGCCCCTCTCCTTTGGGGGTAGAAATTGAACAGTGCCAAAAAGATAAACAGAAACATGGCAATGTTAGGGTATAGAATAAAGGGGCGCCTGGGTGGCGCAGTCGGTTAAGCGTCCGACTTCAGCCAGGTCACGATCTCGCGGTCCGTGAGTTCGAGCCCCGCGTCGGGCTCTGGGCTGATGGCTCAGAGCCTGGAGCCTGTTTCCGATTCTGTGTCTCCCTCTCTCTCTGACCCTCCCCCGTTCATGCTCTGTCTCTGTCCCAAAAATAAATAAACGTTGAAAAAAAAAATTTAGAATAAAAAGTGCACATAACTATAAAGATAAACATATCATAACAACGATATTGGTTGCCGTTCATTGGCTATTAATTGTGGTCCATGCTTTACTAAATGCTATTTTTTTTTTAAAGTGATCTCTACACTGATTCGGGACTCAAACTCATGACCCCAAGATCAGGAGTCACATGCTCTACACGCTGAGCCAGCCGGGCACACCTAAATGCTATTTTATGTAAACCTCAAAACAAGCCTGTGAGTTAAGTATGGAACCAGGGAGGACTCGTTCAGTCACAAGTGACAGAAAATTCACCTTAAAGTGACTCATAATATAAAGGGGTTTTTTTATTGGGTATGTCAGTTAAAAACCTAGATTTAATCTTGGCTTCAAGTGAGATTGGATCCAGTAGCTCCAGATGTCTCCAAAGGCTCATATTCTCTCCCTCCCCTCCCTCCTTCTTCTTGGCTTTCTCTCTGGGCTTCACAGTCAGTCCGGAAGTGCCAAGCTTTCTCATGGTGGCAAAATGGCTGCGGTTGTTCCAGACCTCACACCTTTACACCACATCACTCAGAGAAAGAGAGAGCAAGCCCTAGAATTTACTCTCTCACGCTGGTCCCACACAAGTCGTGTGTCTGTCCCCGAACAGATCACTGTGGTGGCAGAGACCAAAAGAAGAGGTGAGTGACAGCAGGTGGCTGGATTAACACCTTGAGGGTCATGGAGGGGCCCATGCCCAGGAACGAGGGGTGGGGACGGTCCCAACCAAAGCCCCAGGCTGAGAAATTGGAAGAAGTGGTTTTTCAAAGGACAATGGAAATGAAATTGATACGAAAAGGGGAAATGAATGGTGGAGACACACTTACAAGTGTCTTTTCTAGTTTCAACAATTTAGGGGGAAAAAAATCCCTATGATAGATGCTGTGGATGCTCGCCCCGCCCCTGCATGCCCCTGACCCGCCTACAACTGTGACGGACCATTCCCGTTCCTGGGGACCGGGTGTACCTCCCTGCTTCTCCCCCTGAAGACTGTTCGCAGCACTGGAAGCTTGTTCAGCCCACGCGCAAGGCTGCCTGGGCGTGCCAGAGGTTTAATGCAAACTGAAGCCGACAAGGGACAGGAGCTGGGGACAAATGCCCCAGGTTTTTGCTTTTAATCTCTGGGTGGAAAGTCTCTGGGGCTGGTTTGGCAGGGCTTCTCAGAGGGTCTCAGAAGTGTTGACCCCTAGGTCAGAGCAGCAATGAGCTGATTAATGCATCCCTTACTGCTTTTGCCCCCTTCCTTGTCTGTCTTCCCCCAACCCTCTCTCTTGTGCGCCTTGGGGTCACCTCCCAATGAAGAACTGGCACCAAAGTCCTTGTCTCACGGTCTGCTTTCAGTGGAACCCAAACTCACACTCTCCCTGCCTTCATGAACTCATATTCTGATGGCAGAGGGAGACAGATAATAACACATTTAAAAAAAATTTTTTTTTAACGTTTATTTATTTTTGAGACAGGGAGAGACAGAGCATGAACGGGGGAGGGGCAGAGAGAGAGGGGGACACAGAATCCGAAACAGGCTCCAGGCTCTGAGCTGTCAGCACAGAGCCCGACGCGGGGCTCGAACCCACGAACCGTGAGATCATGACCTGAGCCGAAGTTGGATGCTCAATCGACTGGGCCACCCAGGCACCCCTAACACATTTTTTTAAATTGTTAAAGTGTTTATTTTATTTTTATTAACAACTCAGGCAACAACAGATGTTGGCGAGGATCTTGAGGGGAGAAAGAGGATGTCTTTTGCATTGTTGGTGGCAATGCAAGCTGGTTAGCCACTGAAGCAAGTATGGAGGTTCCTCAAAAACTAAAAATAGAGAACTACCTACAACCCAGCAGTTTACTACTAAATTGTTATCAAGGGATGCAAAGATGTGCTGTTTGAGAAGGGACTGTGCACCCCCCTACATAGCAGCACACCTATCCACAATAATAAAAGTGTGGAAAGAGCCCAAATAATCATCAATGGATGAATGGATAAAGATGTGGTATATATACAATGATGAGTATTCTGGCAATCGAAATGAAATCTTACCATTGCTTATGTGGATGGAACTGGAGGGTATTATGAAAAGGAAATTAGAAAGAGAAAGACAAATCATATGACTTCACTCATATGAGGACTTTAAAAGACAAAACAGATGAATATAAGGGAAGAGAAACAAAATAATATAAAAACAGGGGAGGGGGGACAAAACAGACTCTTAAATGGAGAACAGGGTTACTGGAGGGGGTTGTGGGTGGGGGGATGGGCTCAATGGGTAGGGGGCATTGGGAATCTCTACTCCTGAAATCATTGTTGCACTATATGCTAACTAATTTGGATGTAAATTTTAATTTTTTTTAGTTTATTTATTTTTTGAGACAAGAGAGAGACAGGCATATGTGGGGAGGAGGTCAGAGAGGAGACACAGAATCTGAAGCAGGCTCCGGTCTCCTAGGCTGTCAGCACACAAACCCGGCCATGGCAGGGGCTCGAACTCACAGACAGAGTGAGATCATGTCTCTGAGCAAAGTCAGACACTGAACCGGCTGAGCCACCCAGGCGCCCCTGGATGTAAATTTTAAAAAATAAAAAATAAAATTAAAAAAATACATTAAAAAAAAACCATCTACAAATCCTTAAATAAATGAATAAATAAATAAATAAATAAAATGTTTATTTTATTTTTGAGAGAGAGAGACAGAATATAAGACGGGGAGGGGCAGAGAGAGAGAGGGAGATACAGAATCCAAAACAGGTTCCAGGCTCTGAGCTGTCTGCACCGAGCCGGACGCGGGGCTCGAACTCATGAGCCCTGAGATCATTAGCTGGGCGGATGATGCTCTGGTGCCCCGGAGGGAGAGAGATAACAGAATAACTGAGCTAACTCTATAATGTTCAATGGAGATGGTCTTTGTGGAGAAATACAAAGTGGGGAAGAGGGTAAGGGATTCCAGGGATGTGGAGCTATTTTATACGGGGCCCAGGAAGGCGTGGATCAGGGGTGCCTGGGGGGCTCAGTCAGTTAAGCATCCGACTCTTGATTTCGGCTCAGGTCATGATCTGAGGGTTCATGAGACTGAGCCCCACACAGGGCTCCATGCTGACAGCACAGAGCCTGCTTGGGATTCTCTCTCTCTCTCTCTCTCTCTCTCTCTCTCTCTCCCCCCCGCCCCTCCCCCCACAAAATAAACAAATAAACCTTTTAAAAAAGGAAGGCCTAGAGGAAAAGGTGACATGTGAGTCAAGACCTAAAGAAGCCTATCAGGTCAAGCTGCCTTATCTGAGTTAAAAAGCGACCTCCAGATCGTAGCGGCTTAGAGGTCCATTGCCCTCATGTGCCTGCTGTAGATCAGCAAGGACCTAGCTCCACACGCTTTCACTTAGTAGCCGGCTGAGAAGACATTGCTAGTCTCTATCCCCACATATGTATATTTTTGCCAAGTGTCTGGGTGGTAGAGAGCTAAAAATGGTTGGAGGACAAACCTAATAACACATCGTCCATCTTTCTAATTGTCAAATATTCAGGCAAAAGATGCTCACCCTCTCCCGGGGGGGGGGGGGGGGGGGGGGGGGGGGGGCGGGGAGGGGGAATGTCAATCATAGCATCAAACTCAAAGTCCATCTAGGGGTAACTTCTCTGCATCAAGTGTATTATGGTTCCTCTTGACCCAGAGACCTATGAACCAAAAAGACACGTTGTCTGAACCCACCAGGCCATACATGTCTAGCTTTCGACACGAATTATAAAGCATAGTAAAAAGGCAAATTACACAATTTGAAGACACAGGGTGACCATCAGAACTAGAGTCAGATTGGCAGCGATATTGGAATGATCAGACCCGGAGTTTAAGTAACTCTGATTATGCTAAGGGCTCTAATGGAAAAAGTAGACGGCAGATGAGTACAGATGGGGAATGTAAGCACAGAGATGGAAATTCTAAGAAATAACTTTTTTAAATGCTAGAGACCCAAAATACTGCCACGGGAATGAAGAATATGCCTCTGTGGGGCTCATTCAGTGGACAGGACGCGGCTGAGGAGAGACTCTGTGAGCTTGAGGCTACGTCAATGAAAATCTCCAAAACTGGAAAGCAAAGAGAACCGAGATGGGGAAAACATGGACGGGGTTCCCCAGGAACCGTGGCACAGCTACAACATGTGTAACATATGCATACTGGGAACACCAGAAGAAGAGAGAAAGGGACGCAAGAAATAGTTGAAGCAGTAATGACTGAGATGTACCCCCCCCCCCAAATTTACATCAGATACCAAACCACGGATCCAGGAAGCTCAGAGAACGCGAGGCAGGATAAATGCTCCAACCTCTACACACAGGCATATCATATTCAAACTGCAGACAATCAAAATAAAGAAATTAATGCATCCACTGTTGTGGTTGGAGACCTCAACACCCCCTTATCAGAAGCGGACAGATCCTACAGGCAGGAAATTGGTAAGGACACATGGGACCGCACAGCACCAAGAGGCCAACTCCGAAAGGGAACA